CGATCGAAAAAATTTGTTTGTCCGTATAAGTGATTGGATATGCAACAAATGACATGCAACGTACACATACTTGCACGACGTTCGGCCAATACGAAGCAGACGCATCGTAGAGTTTTCGCACAATATTACGCGAACGCTAGGCCGGGGCGAAACAGCTGTACGGCAATACCTGCCGGGTATCAAACGGTGGTGCAAAACTGGACAGTTGAGCGATATTGGAACCGACTTTCGGCCGGCACTGGCACGATACTGCAAAGTATTGCCGTGCTGCTTGGGAACGGAGGTGATGACATCTTACTATCGTGCTTCCAACGCTTATTTATTTTATTTCTCTTCTGGGACGCGTAAAAGAGCACTTCTGTGACACACCAGAGATATTTGAAACTTGGGCTGGCCTCTCGGCTTTCTTTGCCACTTTTGGCACTTATTTGGCACTTCAGTGGGTAGCCAGAAGAGCCAAACTTCGGCATGCCCCGAATCGACAAATTAAGATTTACTGCGGCAGTTATGGCTCAAGTCTGGCACTTACTTTGGCACAACTGTGGCGGACCAGAGAAAAGCCAAACTCGGCGAGGCTGAAATACCGAAATTAGGCGTTGCTTTGGTAGTTATGGCTCAAGTATGGCACACTTCGGCACTCCTGTGGCGTATCAGAGAAACGCCAAATTTTGGCGTGTCCGAAATACCCAAATTAGGCGTTGCTCTGGCAGTTATGGCTGAATTATTGCATCAACTTTGGCGCTCCTCTGGCGGAACAGAGAAACGCCAAACCTTAGCACGTCCCAAATACCGAAATGAGGCGTTGCTCTGGCAGCTATGGCTGAAGTGTGGCACCAACTTTGGCGCTCCTCTGGCGGACCAGAGAAACGCCAAACCTTGGCACGTCCCAAATACCGAAATTAGGCGTTGCTCTGGCAGTTATGGCTGAAGTATGGCACCAACTTTGGCGCTCCTCTGGCGGACCAGAGAAACGCCAAACCTTGGAATGCCCCGAATTCCCAGTTTAGGTTTTATTATGGCAGTTATGGCTCAAATCTGGCACCAACTTTAGCACTCCTCTGGCGGACCAGAGCAACGCCAAACTTTGGCATGTCCAAAATACCCAAATTGGGAATTGCTGTGGCAGTTATAGCTCTAGTATTGCACTACTTCGGCAATCCTGTGGCGGACCCGAGAAAAGCCAAACTTTGGCACGTCCCAAATACCGAAATTAGGCGTTGCTCTGGCAGCTATGGCTGAAGTATGGCACCAGCTTTGGCGCTCCTCTGGCGGACCAGAGAAACGCCAAACCTTGGCACGTCCCAAATACCGAAATTAGGCGTTGCTCTGGCAGTTATGGCTGAAGTATGGCACCAACTTTGGCGCTCCTCTGGCAGACCAGAGAAATGCCAAACCTTGGCATGCCCCGAATTCCCAGATTAGGATTTACTATGGCAGTTATGGCTCAAGTATGGCACCAACTTTGGCACTCCTCTGGAGTACCGGAGAAGAGCCGAACTTTGGCATGCCATAGGATCGCCCAACTATGGCTATAGTTAGGCACCGTACTTTGGCACTGATGAATGCCATGGTGCAAAAACCTAACTGCGCCAAAGTTGGGCCCTTATGTTTGCCAGACCTTTGCCCAAGTTGGGCATTCCTCTGGCGTGCTACCTGGGAAACTTTTAACACCACTTATAGAATACGCGTGCGAAGTCTGGGACCCGCATACTAAACATCTAGCTTCAAATTCGGAACAGGTGCAACGGCGTGCGTTACGTTTCATCTACTCTTGTTAGATATGGCTAGACTCTGGGTCACCTCTTTCTGGTAGGGCGAATCTGGCCCTCCATAACACAAGATAGCAGAAGAAACGTCTTAATATTTTTACAACATAATAAGAAACATCGTTCTTGTAAATGAACAACAGTAGACAAATGAAAGCATGTCGCATAACACTCACAATAAGCACACATGTGGAGGAACCAAAGACTTCTAAGGATTGTTCTAAGTATTAAATATTCTTGCAAACATCGTGACAATAGAGCAGTGTTGTACGGAACGGCGTTCCTGGAATGCTTTCCCTTTAGGAGGAACGAAGGAACGCTGCAGTTCCATTTTGCATCCATGCAACTGCCCTAGTAGCACCATATGTTGTCATAACGTAACTGGAATGTCACAAATGTAATGTAACGTTGGGGCACATTTGGGTATGTTATAGCAATGTTTGAAAACTAACGTAACAGAAACGTTCTTCTGTAACATTGTTTGAATGTCACTGAACGTCATGTAACGTTACATCACATAGGCAAACGTTCCAGGAATGTTAGAGAAGCAACATTGGAGCAACGTTTAGAAATAACCTCTTGGTAACATTTCCATCCTGACATACGGGCAATGTTATGCAGCGATGTTGGCCTAATGTGACGAAATGTGACGCATCACCACATCACACAGAGGCTGGTCAAGGATACACGAAGATACCAAACTTATAATAGTTCAATGTTGATTCTCTTGTTCAAACATTTTTATTTTTTTACAAACAGAAAGACCGCTCTAATGCTTGTGACGGGCGTGTTGGAAACAAATGTTCAAAATGTACCCTGGAAAGATTGCAGAAAATTAAAAAAAATATCTGTCCAAAAGGTTTATGATAAAATTGAATTCATTTGTGTGTATGGCATTTCCTTGCTTCCAATATTCACGAGCTAGCATGCACCCTCATCATAGCTTTTAGGTTAAGGTCATTCGAATGTCCAGCTTTTGGAACGCATGCTAAAGATAACAAGAGGGTGAAGTCATGGGGTGTTATTGTGTTATCAAAGGTGGAAAACTCGCGCTGGTGACGCGACGACCCAAAGACCTCCCGAACATGTATAGGATGGCATGAGAGTCGTAGCCTGTAAATTAATTTGGAACATGTAGCTAGCTAAAATTATCACGAAAAGTGTATTTTAGTTGTGTGCTCTATTGCGTTATTTTCGAAGCGTAGCTCTGTTTCTGTGAAAAATACGAACATGATTACCCTACGGCCAGGTCGCAGAGAGCTCTTGGGGTCGACCGACTGCTCTATCCGACCCGAGCTTGCTGCAAAATGATTTCTACTATTTAAAATAGAAGCGAGGACATATTTCACGACGGACTCGGGTCAAATCGAGCGACTGGGTGGTTCTTACTCTCGCCCTGTCTAGGTTGTCTGCGCCAGTGCTTGCCATAGAGATTTAGAGAAATCTTGGAGCGTGCAGTATAAGATACACCCTGGTTGAAAATTTGAAATAGTTACATGCAGAAGCTCATATTTCAGTCCAGTTTACAGCTCAGGACTCTATTCGGAAAACTCAAAAAGTGGCGGCTCATTGCAGCACACTGCAAGTGAGACGACTGGCGGTAGCCATTGTCTCATAGACAGAGGAGGGGAAAAGGGAGACGGTTGAGGGGGAAGGTGAGCGATGAGATGGGAAGGAGAATAGAGGCAGGAAGAAGAGGTCAGGTATGAAGTTCGAAGTCTAAAAACACATGCTCACACAAGGAAGAGAGGAGACAAAAGGAAAAGGGGAATGAGGATGAGAGGCTGAGGGAGCATGAAGAGAAAGATGAAGAGAAGTGGGGCAGGGAGGAGCAAGATCAGAGGGAGGAGAGAGGAAAGAGGGGAGGAAGAGCACACAGAGGGAATATGAGACCAATGGGGGAGAAGGAGTGGAGGGGAATGAGGAGATGGGACGGGGTGGGGCCAGGTAAGACGTAAAACATCGCAGGTCATAGGCCTCGGTTGCATGGACACAAGATCACACCTCCCCGACCACTCAAAATGAAGAGCCATATGCAGCTGCCACCAAAAAGAAAAGGTCAAAGGCCATGAACATAGAATCACTCAAACGAGAGAGAAGGGGGAAGAGGGGAGGAAAGATGAGTACGATGGGTAGCAGGAAGAGGAAGGTGGACAAGAGAGTAGAGGAAGAGGGGAGGGAGGAATAAGGAGACCGAGGAGATAGAAGGGGAGATGGCGAGGAGGAGCAGTCAAAGGTCCGAAGTCGAGATCAAAGGTCAAAGGCAACGAACATATAATCCTATGAAGGTGGGGAAGGGGGGGCCACAAACGTTAAATCATGCGAGGAAATGAGGAGTGAAAGGTTAGAAAAGGCAACATAGGAGAGATGGGACGGGAATGGGGTGAGATTAAAGAAAAGTGAGTGAGAGGGGGGGGGGGGGGGAGGGGCAGGTAGGAAGGAGATCTAGCATCAAGGGCCACGGATACAAGGACGCACTCCGCCGACCACTCAAAATGAAGGGCCCCAAGGGGGGAGGCACTCACTTTATCAAGTGACGTGTTAGCGAATGTCCACGTTTCACCGAATGACACTTTAGCGAAAATTCGGACGCTGCGAAGCGGCGTTCTCGGGTGGGCCAAGTGGGTTCACATTTTTGTAATGAGCCGCTGCAGACTCGCCGCGCGGCGGATGGGTTAACGCGCGCCCCCGTTACTCGCTAAAACGTCGATTCGCTCAAATGCCGCTGTTCGCTAAAACGTCATTCGCTCATCTAATATGGACCCTAATTATAATGAAACGAGTATAATCGCACACACATTGTTAGCCCCCGTTCACTTCTCGCCAAAGAGCCGTCGACACGAGAACATATTTGAGCTTGAGGCTTCGAAGCTCGCTCTGCGTGGATCACTCTTTGCCTACATTTGTTATCTGGACACATCACAATGGTACAGCACAGTCGCATAGCCACGGCACTACCGTTTCGATGTTAACAGTTCACTATCGTTACCGATATTACGGTCGAGGTCATCCACTGATCACTGCAAGACGTTGCAAGATCGCCATCGTCCGCCATGATTGCACACTAGTACGGCATCACGGTTATGGCTGTACGGCTTATACCAATTTCCAATTTCTCCAATCGATGTAATGTTTTATAACTCTTAAAAAAAACTTATTTTAGTACTGTCAGATAAGTTTCCACAGTTTATTCCTACTTGAAACTTCATGTTTAGTCGTTTACTCGTTTACGCACACTGTTGACAAGCCAAGACGCCAAGAGTGCAAGTAGCTCAAGCCAAGCAAGGTCGAAGCCAGGTTGACCACGTGACCGTATGTCAACGGACCGTCAAGGCCTGTTTCATCGGACCGCTCTGCCGATCTCTCGGCGTGGAGGAAACGTAAACAAAGGTATGTTTCATTTTCGTTGTTGTTACTACTTGTGCTGAACAATGGAGCGGGCGAAGCGTTCGCTATCAGAGCTATCCGATCGCCAAAAAAGACATAGAGTAGCCGAAAGTGTTCGCAAGGAACTTGAAAGTTCCTTGCGGACATTCCCTGTCCATTACTTCTGTAATGGACAGGGAATTTAAAACCTGGAAAAGCTGGGGAACTTAGAAGGAGGAATTTGCTAGACACCCTGGCTGATTTCATAGTTACCGATGTCTGCCAAGTTATGCTGAAGTAGGGCATGAAATTGTCGATATTTCACTGTGGTAGCTGACGTTGTGTTGTAATTATATACTTTTGAAACAGGAGCTGTGCGCACCTGCTTTAAACAGAAGGCAGAAAACAATGAGCCAGCCATCATCGTGCAGGAAGCCGACGCCAAATGGGCTGCTGCTGAATCGGTCAGGCATGCACCAGCTAGGACCAAGAAAATGGTAATATGATATTTCTAATTTTGCTTAAACTCCCGAAAAATACTTTTGCATCCTAAAACAAGCCCAGATTTCAAACAAAGGCATTAGTCCACTTTACATAAAGACATTTTTAAGTATTAAGAAATTTATTTAGCCAATGAAAGAACACCATGTTATGACATTGTCTGCAATGAGCTTTACATTGTAGAAAATATGAGGCTCATTGACATTGCCCCTGGGTCCGGACAGTTCATCAAACGCCGTTTCATTGAACATTGTTTCATCGAAGCTGTTTTATTGAACGCAGTTTTATCGAACGCTGTTTCATTGAACGCCATTTCATCGAAGTTGTTTCTTTGAACGTAGCTTATTTCAGCAGTAGAAATATTTTTCTTTTTAGTGCCGGGAGGATAGCAGTGTTTTAATATTTATTGTAACTTATAAACTTATATATATATAAAAGGAAGGAACCTTTTTTTGTCACCTTCTATTCTTTTTTTTTTAGTAAATGATGACTTCTGTTAATGAGGCCAATAAGACACGGTAACACTAACGACACTTTTAAAAGCTGTGATCATCAGGTGCAGTGATGAATGCACATCCGTTCAAAAGCGTATACGGTATATATCTTCATCCTTGAAGAGGCCTATTCTGCTTCAAGACGAAGCCATCCTTGAGGCAGTGATCTGTCTCCGTGGCCCATGATACGGGGAAAAGAAAAGACGTGTCTCCTCTCTTTGTTAATTTATTATAATCGACAGAACCGTGGACCTGCCGAATATTCGACATACAGTAATATACTGCATGTCAAAGATCCGACAGGTCCACGGTTCTGTCGGTTACAAAAAATTGACGAAGAGGGCAGGCACGTCTTTTTTAAGAACATCTATGTTCTTAAAAAGAAAGCTATACTCTTAGGATAAAATGAAAACAAAGTTAAATCTACAAATACAAAATAAAAAAGGCGCTGCGGAAAATAGCTGTTTCCCTCTTAAGAAAGTGCCTTTCACGCAGGAATAAATAGAAGGTTGAAGTGGGAAAAAGTGAGTGGCCGAGAACAGCCGCCTACCTTGCCAGAAAAGAATAAGTCGCGTATCCACTGTCTTCTGTGGGTAGGTCACACTTTGCGGTAAAGGTCTAAACTGGATGAAAAGAATGGCTTGTGCATGCAAAGAAACTGTGGTGAAACTGCTAGGACAGATGTAGGCATTTCTTTTTTTATCTTGATGACACTCTTTGCCCTGAAATAGGCACCCATTTTCTGAATGCAACCAACTTTTTTGTGTTATTTTTTTGCAGGAGCAGTGTGCCTCTTCTCAGGAGTGACTGAGGGGCTGCCACAAGGGGAGAAGGCAAGCATGTTTCTGATTACAAGGATGGACAGTTGGGCTGGGCTAGTTGGTAAGAATTCATGTTGAGAAACGGTGCGAAAACCAGACAAAGGAAAAAGAACACACAGTACCTTGTCCTGTGTGTTTTCTTATCCGTGCATTTTGCGCTGTTTTTCAGCATGTTTCTGCCTTGATTTTTCTGTTAGTTTTAAATGTTAGTAGTTGGTTACTTTGATCCCAGTTGGAAGCATGGAATTGGTTAACCGTGCTAAATGCATAGAATTGAAAAAAAAAGAAATTCATGCTTTCTAAATCATTTAAAATGCCTTTTTTCCTAATGATTTCTTTCTCTTTTTTTACAGCCATCCCATGAGTAGAGTCCCTGTTGTTTGAATTTTTTATGTCAATTTGTAATATGCATATGTTACCTTTAATTTCTATTCATGCATACATTTTAGCCCCAGCTAGTGGTTTCTTTTATTTAATTTATGTACACATTAGTGTGATATTTTTAGAAGATTTAAAATTTATGTTCTTTTTCTAGTCATTTTTGGTTTATTGCCTCCGTTATTTATTTATATGTCCTAGCCCAAGATCGGGTGTAATTTGAGATATATTTAGAATTTTATTTTAGGCTACTTGCTTTATGTTGCTGGGAGTTTTAATATTTTACATTTTTATTTTTATGCAGATCAGCCTTGTAATTTAGTGTGTTCTTTACAATTTTTATAGATCTAATAGCTTGTAAGAAACAGAAGAATTCTCTGGTACTTGTAATGTTGGTTTCGTTTTTGAAATAAATTTATTCCAATAACTTCTTGTTTTCTTCCGGAGTCCTGCTTCTAGGATTTCAAAATGCTGATTCATTAATGGCCTGTAATGCACATCCATTTACTCATATCAGGCACCAGCTCAAAAAATGACTTCATGACAACCATAAATGCAGTTTCCTGGCAGCGCTTGTCAATGTATTTTCGGATAACATTGTTCAGTAATGTCCAAGTAACACATGCAGTAATATCTGGCCAGTGCCAGCATATTGTAAAAACGTTTACTGAAAGTTGACAGAATAAAAGCACTGAGGAAAAACAGATGACCGCTCTTTCATTTAGTTACGACGCTCGTTTTTTGGAAGCAAAGACTCGCGCACAGGTCAAGATTAACTGCAAAAGGAAGGCTTGATCAAAGGAACTTTAGGGAGATAAGGGATGAGTCAGTAACACCCCACCTTCGGTATATAGTTGATCTCGACCTGGATGCGACTCTTTGCTCCTCAAAAAATAAACGTTGTTGCGAAATAAAAGAGTGGTCGTTTGTGTATGTTCTTCACATTTTTATTCCTTCACTTTTAAGTAAGCCGTAATGTCAGTGCAACATTTTGGTGTAACATTACTGGATGGTAGAATTCGTGGCCATTAACAACAACTAGCAACGTTAGCGACGACGTCCGAGTAACATCACTGATCTAGCATCCAGGTAACATAGAGAGCTATGTTACTGCAACATTTTGATGTGACGTTACTGGAAGGTAGAACTGGTGGCCATTAGCAACGTTTGGCAACGTTATCTAACAACGTTCCAGTAACGTTATTTGGGTAATGTCCAGGTAACGTATGCAGTTACGTTACTGTAACATTGTGGTGTAACGTTACTGGAAAGTAGAATCCGCGGTCGTTAGCAGCGTTCGGCAACGTTACCTGACAACATTCCAGTAACGTTGTAGCCACATTTTGTGCTACTTGGGTGGAATGGGAACTCGTTAGATTTTTACGGGAACGGAAAAAAGGATCGGCGTTCCTTTTTCTTCGTCCGGTGTGGTCACTTTTATTTTATTTGCATGAGGGGAATTTTGAAAAAAAGAAAAGTATAACAACATTATATTAACGAAGAGGAGGATCTTGTTCCGTTTTTTTGTTACTTAGGGTTTTTTTGTGGGGTCCTCGCTTGGCAACAGCAGGGTGCAGGAGAGCTAGTAACCATAGATTATTTTTTTCAGTGCCCGAGACTGCGGCAAAGAAGTCAGAACATTTGGCCGAAGGAAAAGAGAAAAAAGGGACGTCTTGAACTCAGCTACTTTCCTTGCTTTCACGAATTCTCATGCACCCATAAATCTAAGGCCTACTGCAGCCATCACTGAACTTTTACAAAGAAACCAGTTACACCAAAAGAAGAGGTTACTATACATCAAACGCACCCTTGTATCCAAAGCATTGGCCAGATGCACAGAAATTAACCTTCCTTCTCTGTGCTCTTCACCCACCTTCAAACTGAACAACGAGTCCAACCTTCACGAAGAAGGACTGGTAGTTTCCAAGACTGACCTTCAAAAAGCCCTACCTTCTTCTCCATTGCTGGTCTTGCAGACAGCAGCATCGACAAGCAACTGTTGTTAAGTTCGAACGCGGGACTTTGTTAGATTGAAACGTGTGAAGTTGTTGTAAAACGCTCGTGCAATCGGTGTAACAGTATATTTGGCTCATCTGAATTGTCCACCGCAAACGTGACTATGGCAAAACGCTGAGAGTTTTTAAAAGTGAATATCTCAACAAATGAAGCCTTGCTTCCGCTTGTTTTCTTCTTCTAGCGTCCTTCCATCACGGCATTCGAATTCCTATGTTGCTATTTAATGGGAGAGATAAAAAAAATGTTGGTTTCATCTAAATAAATTTTTTGATTAGCAAAATACAAATGTAACGTATATGTAACGACACGTTCCATTTTTTAAAACTGTAACGGGAACGAGTTCCTTCCTCGCAGATGAAACTTGTAACGGGAATGCGTTCCAAAAATCAAGAGGAACGAGGAACGAGCTTCCGTTCCTCTTTTTGAGGAACGTGTACGACACTGCAATAAAACAAGCTCCCAGAACATGTCCTAATAACTAGAAGTCGGAATGAATTTAGTTCCTTTATCTCAGGCATTTCTGCCAGAAATGTTTAACTTAGTAGAGTGTGGTATTGTGCTTCTGTAAAAACGCGTCCATTTTGTGTAATAGCATTTCAATCTTGGTCCTGTATAAAACCGATAGTTCTCTTCCCCCCCCCCCCCTCTCCCCCGCCTCCCACAAAAAAGCCTGCGTGCGCAGCATTTTTGTCCCGATAGCAGATCTCTTACAGTCTTCAAATATATCTTAACTGAGATAATATATTCTCAACCTAAATGCTTCGTCAGTAGCGCAAATCAACCCCAACGAGGCATTTGGTAGATTGGAGTAGCACTCTCTCATAACAATTGCCTTAATAACAAATTCCGGAAAGTATCACTCTAATATTTTCGCATTGTTTTTGTCACGAGCACTTTTAACAGGATTAGTTAATCAGCAAAGCATTTTTTGAAAACACAGAAAAAAAAATAAAGGAGTTTTTGTTCCGAATTCACGGAGAAGTCTGGTTGAATCTTATTTTCGAAGCACACGTTCCAAAAGTGAATGCATAAAAATATCGGGTTTAGCCAACACCACCTAGAGGAGAAGGCCAGCACACGCCTCCGGTGACGTCACGGCAGCAGGCTGACGAGCGCCGCGCTATAGAGCTGAGCTGAAGGCTTCGCGCTTAGCTTTTACGTTGTAGAAACGCGGGTTTTCGCACAGTTTATTTTTTATGAGCTAACGTGAGAACTGTGAACGCCGAGTGATATAAAGACCCAATTTTAGAACGCAGGAAAATTCTTATAACCTACAATTATTGTAGTGAAATACAAGAAAGTGATATCTTGAGACAGATGTGTTATTTTTTAAGCGATAAACTTGGTGGTGTAATTATCTCTGAACGAAATGGGACTTGTGTAATAAAAAAGAATCCCTATGAAATGACAATAATCGAAGTAGTAGGACCAGATAAAACGAACTGAAGTAACAATTGGATAAATGATGCAGAGGCATTCACTTCATTTAATTTCATTCACCTCAAAGGCATCCAAAGACGCATTACATCAGGGGGAATTAAAAAAAATAAAAGACAAAATAGTAATTGAACATAAAAGAGACACCAACAAAAAGAAAATGTCACACACACACACACACAAAACCGCTTATTAGCATGTTAATGTTATGATGCAGTTTTACAAATCAAAGTTCAGTTACACAAATTGATGCACTTTTTCGATGAAATGGGATATCTCTCAGTTACAATATGGTCAGGTAGTTTGTTCTAGTCAGTGTTGCAAAGTACTAAGGAAGAAAAAAGGAAAGTGTAATTATGGCACTGAAATGGTTCAATCTTGAAGGAATTATCTAATACGGATGATATGAAATTGGCAGCCCAGCACTAAGTAGATTGAAAATTGGAATCTGAGTAATATACATTTTGGAAAAAAAAAACACACACACAATCAGACTATTTTTCGTCTTTCTAGATTAGGAAGATTTATGCTAGCTTTTAAAGCGGAGACACTAGTTTCGAATGAATAATCACTACATATAAATCTGTCTGCTTTGTTCTGAAGATTCGAGCCTCTAGATTATAGGTAACTTAGGTGTGGATTCCAAATTATGCTCGCATATTCTAATGGTGGCAGGATAAATGTTTTGTATGCGAGTAGTTTTGCTTTAATAAGAGCTAGATCCCTACTAAAAATCTCATTTGTATGAGAAACTTCTGTGTCCAATAAACACGTATGAATCATACAAGATATATAAGAACATATAAGAGCCCTATAAGAAGTAGATTAGAATAATATAAGAAATTTGTAAGAAGTTTCTTATATATCTTATATAGTTCTTATATGGTTATCATATATCTTGCATGATTCATGCGTTTATTGAACACAAGACTTTTCTCGTACAAATGTTTTTTTCACAAATTAAGTGTTTTTAGTGCGCTATTTGTTATTTGCTCAATCCATGATAATGAGTCTGTGAAATACGCCCCCAAACACTTGTACGACAGCGATTCTTCTAGTGGTTTGGAAAGTAACGAGTACTGGATTAGTGTTTTAGTGGAGGACTTAATTATGGACAATTCTTCGCATTTATATGTGTTAATGTTCATCTGCCATAGGGAACACCATGATGATATTGTATCTAA